CCCCCCCCGAAGCTGTATTGCTTATATATAATAGTTGGCAAATTAAGTCAGAATACAGGGAGGAGAAATGAAAGGAAAACGTATTTATTATATGCTATAAAGACGTTATTGAATATGGATATGAATAGTAGTTAGTTGACCGAAGAAAGAATCGTTTGAAAAGCCAACAAATCTACAGAGAAGATAGGTAGTTAGGAGACTATTTCGGAATCTGTTGTGTACAGAATTACGTGTTGTATTATTCCGATCGCCCATGGAGGGTATAAAAACCATCTTTGTCCTTTAGCACCGTACGAGCCCTAGTGGTGTGCATATTATGCTACACATCGATATACACAGATCTGGAACTGCTTTTTCTTATGCGACTTTTGTCGACATCAAACACAGAAATGCAATATTATTTGTTTACCCATCTTTAAATTTGTAAATTATTCGTGTCCTTTTAATTGCCATTAGTCACTGCCCCTGCTAAGAAACCCGATCCTGGCATGGAGATATATTGACCTGTGGGTGGTTTGGAGGGGGGGGGGGGCGATGGTACCTCCTACTTTTCTCTCCCTCTGTTTTTTCTGTCTACATGTCTGTCGTGCTCCTTCCCTGTACTATATGATCGTTTTTGTGTCGATGTGTCTCACTTAACAAAAAGTCACCTTCAAGTGTCACATCAACACTAATTTTGTCCTTTGAAATTTATCAGGACTCCGCTTTTCATAGTTCTGTCGAGACTTGGCTGTTTTGTCAGACTCAGACTACCAAAGAGGTTTCTGTCTATAATTTAGGGTGTGTTTGTGTGTGTGTGTGGAGGGGGGGGGGGTAATCTTGTCGCTGTATCAGATCTCAACTTGTTTTTAATGGGGAGGGGTTAAAAAGGAGGGGGTAGTATTTTGATATGGGCATAGGCCACGATGTTTGAAGATGCATAGCCATCGCACGAGCCCAGAGCGACGGGCGTGTTTTGGATTGAGATTGAAAATTACTGTTCATGTCTTTACACCCACTCGACACTGTCTTGTCGGAATAGGACGTTACAACCAATAGTCAACCGTTTGAATAATCTTACTATGACCACGATGAAGCGGTATGGTGCACTCATATCGTACTACTGTAGGGCCTAAGCCGTACTTTACCCGAAGACTTCGGTATGATGAAAGGGATGAAACGACTGCTACTCATACTTGTAGCTTACTCTAGACCTACGTCTACTCTCATCCACTTTGGTTAAGATCTTCCCTGTCTACGTGGCACAGTGTCTGTCGCCTAGCAGCCGACCGCTTATCCCTGCGGCCTCGGTCTGCTTGGGGGGGGGGGGGGGGAGACCTGTAAAGACAATCTCGTATTATGCAAAGTGCTGATTTATGACCGGATGGGTTTCCCCGAGGGCCTTTGGAGAGTGCAGGCGATTCCTCCTCTCAGTAACCGCCCCTGCTTGTCTCCACGACAACGGAATGCAGACCGGAGGTCGTCATCGCTCTCGTGTCTCCCGGTTTAACTACATTTCCTGACCCCCGTGTCAACACGAAGTCTTCTCCTCTTCAACATGTTCACGTCTCTGTCCTGTGGGCTGGTCTTGAAATCTGTTTCACAGTGTAGAAGCAGTCACCTGTAAGTTTATTCGTGTTGGCCTGGCCTGGGCAGATTTTTATTATTTTAGTCATCCCCCCCCCCCCCCCACCTCCTCGGAAAAAAACCTCAAAGAAATAACTGGCCTTTTAATAATTATCGTGATGCGTGTCCCATCCCAAGTATATGATATTGCCACTTATGGCTTGCTATTGCTGTAGTTCATGGATATGGCCTACCTCTTTTTCTTCTTATAATGTGGCTGGCGTCCTCACGATGTGTCTTGTTGCAATTGTCAGACATAACGGCTCACAATACAACAAACCAACAACACTGATTTCAGTTTCAAGCGAGTTTACCCCTATTTGCTGTTAGTGCAATGTTACAATTTCTGTAACTTTCTTACATTTCAGTAACCCTCTCCTTTTTGAAGGTTTCTTGGTTCTTTGGACGTTCCGGCTTATCTCATTTAGCCCTATGAAAAAACCCCTCAAAAAGTGGGTGATTGGCGGGTGCTCTGGTCTGGTTTGCTCCTTTTTTCCTATATCAAACATCTATCGTCCTTATCTTTCCTTCTTTTTTATGTTTGTTTCTCTCTTGTAACTCTTCTAATCTTCGGCACTTATATGACCTTATTGTGTCGCAAGTGCCGTAAAACGCTTACTTAATTACTAAAACTAATCTAAACCGCACAAAAAAAACCCCAAAACCCCAATTGGTTTTATCCTCACACCTGGTCAGACAATGCTTTCATAGTTTTTTTTCCTTTCATTTTTTTTCCTTCCAGCAACAAGAACAAGATCCTACCAACCTGTACATTGCCAATTTGCCGGTCTACTTCATGGAGAAAAATTTAGAAAACATGTTCAAGGAATACGGGACAGTCATCTCCACACGGATACTCCGTAAACCCGATGGGCTGAGCAGAGGAGTAGGATTTGCTCGCATGGAGTCGAAGGAAAAGTGCGATCAGATCATCAATGCATTTAACAACAAAATGTTGCCTGGTAAGAAAATATGCACACCGTTCATATCATAAATTAAGGGTAATGTAAAAGATTTTAAAAAACTTTTCAGTTGTAATGTTCCATCTCTATACTACCTTGCTGTTAATTTAAATATTTGGAATAGTAGGTTTTTTTTAAAATGTAAAACTGTCATGGTCACCAGTTTAGCCTTTTCTCTGCTAAGTTAGTGATGTTTACACCCTTGAGCAGGATTAAAAAGTGGAACAGCAATTGCGGTGAAGTAGCTAACCGCGATGGTATCGTCATTGGCTAGCCTAGTCTTGACTGTCAGTCAGCTTTTCACAAAGACTGCTAAAAATAACATTATTAAAGAAGTGAAGTACAATCTACTTCATTGATGCAATTAAATGTGTTTGAGAGAAAATTAATGTAATCACCTCACTTGTCTTTGATTACTGCTAAGAGTGTGACAAAATGGTATTTAAAACAATGGACAACTATCTTCTTCGTAGACATAATTATGCTAGAGGAAATGAGTTTAACTTCTTTGTGTGCAGTGTTTGACTATCGCTGGTATGGAGTGAACTTTCATGTTGCCTCAGGGCTTTGTGTTGTGTTTAGTATATTCGGGACAATATCAGTTTTATCATGTCCATGTTATAAGCTACACATGTATTTGCTATATGCTGCTGCAGTAGTATTTCATTTTTTTAATGTGAGTTTGTTTGCCTGTCAAAGTTCATGTGTGTGAGTGGGTGGCAGTTGCTCTGGTGTGGTTTGACATCTATCATCATCGTCTCTCCTCTCTCTTCTCTTTGTATGTTACTCTCTAATAATGCCTCTATTCTTCAGCACTTATGTGACCTAATTCTGTTGCAAGCACTGTAAAACTCTTACTAAAATTAAAACTAAGCTGTGTTTGTGTTCATCCTCAGGCTGCACTGAACCATTGTTAGTGAAGTTTGCGGATAGTGGCAACAAGAAGAAGACCACCACCACAGCCCTCACGCCGCGCTTGTTCACACCAGGAAGAGATGATGCAAGTATTTCAGTATGTAGCACTGTTCACATTCATCTCATTACCTCCACTGGCCATCATCAACGCTAATTGGCTTTATGTATTGCTTTTTCTGTTAAGAACATCTAGATTATTTATGACTTGACAGTGGAGTGATATCCTCAGTATTTATGGCAATGTGTTATCACATTTTTTAAATAGAGGACAGGACCATACTGTGAGTGGGGTCCTGAAAAGTTGAAGATATATGAAGAAGCCAAGAAATTCAGCTTTGACAGATTAGCTGTGTGACTGGTTTATGCCTTGGCAGATACAGCTTCTCTTGGGGATGTTTTAGCCACTAGAATACATCTCAAGGTCATTCAGTGGGTTGTTGTGCTGAATTATAAATTTGTCAGACTTTTATGAGCGCCAATGTTAATTTGAAATAAAGGTAATTTATGCTATAAAAAATCAAAGTCCATGAAGATACTGACTGACATACATCGCATGTTTTTTTTCTTCCCTTCAGGCTATTCAGTTTGCTTATGAGCAGCAGGCGTTAGCCAATTTGAATGGGTGAGTGATTTGAATATATTTTTTCGTGTTTAGTATACCACGGAATCAGCAGTTGAACTGTTGTTACAAAATGTACCATTTTCTTTCTTGCTTGACCAAGATTATGAGGAAATTGTTTCCAAGGTCTTTTCAATCCGTTTTGTCAAAAATTTAAATGTGGTCACAGTTATTAGTGGGCTTGACAACATTATGATTATTAGATATTTTCTTTTTCTATATTGTGTATTTGTTAAGCATTGATTCCTTCATTTGTTCATGTTTTCCAAGAGTTACTTTATCTGAAGGTATCTTATTACAACTGTCCTCTACCCCCAACCAACACTTTCATTATAGAAATTATGTGATAATGTTGGCAAAAAAAATTATCTTGGAAAGGACGGGAAAAAAAGTGATAGATGGATTATTTGTACATGTAGGCAGGCCTGTTTATGTATCGCAGAGACAGACAGTAGTGTTAAATGATGCATCTAATACAATTCTTATGATGTCATGTTTTTCTGGTGTCTTCAGTCAGTATATCAACTACGGTGTACCCACGCCAGCCATCGTACCAGCCGGCCTCGTACCTCGGGCGTATACCTCTGTGGCGGCCACAACTCCTGTGACCACATACCAGATGTCGAACCCCACGGCCCAGGGCTGGATGCCACAGTACGTTATGCAGCCACACCAGATGCCACACGTGAGTTACCAGCCCTTCACTTCCCTCTCCTCTCTCTCTCCTCTCCTCAGTAACCATAGTTAAGATTTTCTCAATAGCAGAACAAATTCTAAGAATCGTTCTCTGAATATCAGGAAGACGTACAGTAAAATCATGAGTATTAATAATGTTTCACTGTAGAGTTCTTTTAACTACCATGAAAAATGTAAGAATATTCGATTTATATTTAGTGGAAAAGTCATTTCACAGTGAAAGTATTCCCTATAATATGGAGGGACCCCTCTTATGTTTTCCCACGAAAGAAAAAGTCTGAAACACTGCTTGAAGTGAATTTTGACCTGCACATTGTACCAAAACAGACAATTCTCCGATAGAAACATTCTGTGGCGGCACCACAGGGCACTTTGGTAACTTTCTCTCCCTGAAAATTTATTCCAACATTTTGTCATTTTGACCCAGTTTCATCTCCCCCCCCCCCCCCCCCCCCCCCGATCCGTAGATGTGAATCCTGTGACTTAATGTTACATATCAAAGTATCACCTGCTATTTTATTAAGATCAAGGGTTAGTTCCTGAGTAGGATGCTGAAAATACACAAATGAAATTTTGAATGCGTTAAAAAGGTTTTACAAGGTATAAAAGTGATGTGTAGCTACTGTATTTATTTCTTTATATATGAAGACGGGCTAATTATACGTTACTAGCTCAGTTCACAGCAGTATTTTTGGTAGAGAAAGGTGGTGAGACAATATTGCTCTATACCATTTGATATCAGTTTGCAGTGATGGGTTACAAAAAAATGAAACAGTTGATAGTCAATTCTGCAGGAAAGGATTTAGAACTTTTAAAGTTTTATTAAGTTATTTTCAATTAGAGAATTGTGTTATGAATTTTTATATTCCACAAACCAACCGTGAATTTTGAATGACTGATCAAATCTGCTGTGAATATAGTTTTGTTATAAGTTATGCCAAACATAATGTTCTTATGAAATGTGGAAATGATTTTTTTAAATGGAACAATGATTAATGTTAATGGTTGTCCTGTTTTGTTTTTTTTGTTTTTTTTTTATAGCAGGGACTAAGTTTTGACATATAGGTACAGTGTATTGGGAAAAGGTGAAGAATTGAGTGATGGTAAGGTTCTTCCAAATTAAAACTTTTTTCCATGGCCAGTGCCAATGACGATTCTTTTCAAAAGGCTTTAAAAGCCTTATAAAATCTATTTCTGTTGATCCTTCCGCGGGGGGGAACCAGTGGTACCAGCATGCATTGTTGTGACATAACCTCACTGACACACTCACTGCCACACTTACTGACATGTCAACAGACAGGCAATTCTGATAACTGTCTTGATCATTAATAACACTGACAGCACATCCAATGTTGCCATCATGGAGGCGTTGTTGGCGAATGAGGGATCAAGCAATTATCATTTGTTCGGAAACTCGCGGCCCTCTGGGTCAAGGCAATGTTGACAGATGATCGTTTAGGCATGTGCTAGCTTTAGTGACTGACCTTTGTGCATGAAGAAAAGCATCTTGTCTCGTAGGCTACTAAGGGAATAGGCCAGGATAAATACTTCCACGCTCAAGAGGACAAATAATGAATGAATTCTCTGAAAAAAGAATGTTTAAAAAGAGGACACTTTCTCTTTCTTTCTGAAGGATGAGTATTGAAGAAAAGGTTCTCACTCTTTAAAACTGTGATAAATGTAGCCACTCCTATGAATGAATACCTTCACCATACTCTCGTCACAAAGATAGATCACAGTGCTATCCAGATGCTTACTGTTGCAGTACTAGACATGTATTAATGATTCTCATCTGATGGAAGAAGTTATGGACTCATGCACCGTTCTGAACTTGGCAGAGGCTGATTGCAACTTTCAACCTGTTACCCATTTATCTGTCTGAAAGATAGTCACCCTTTTATTAGTCTGAAAGATAGTTCAGGCACTCAGTTATGCACAGAATACCAGTCAAATAAATTGGTATAAAGTAGAATAAATCTTTGTGCAGTCTGTCAGACTTTTTTTGAAAATATTTATGAAGGTTGCTTTGTGTAGAGAGCAAAGATTTTCTCGTCAATATTTTAGCACATTGGAACCTTTCCTTTTGATTTGTAATTGGGAAGGGGAAGGGGGTTGGGGGGGTTAACTGTGCCACTCAGTCCGGCTGCTCTTATTGCATGACTGCTTTCGATATCTTGAATTGCATCCATTTCCTTTTTTTTTTTTTGTGGTTATTTGGTTCTTTGCCAAATTACTTGTGCATGATGATACTTGGTTGTCGTTTGTTTTATTTCTTAATTTTTCTGGGAACAGAAAATTTAAGGCAATCTGAGAAGACCTGTAGCATGCAGTGACGACTGACCGTCACAGTATATGCAAAGTAACTGCCATCTGTAGCTGATGAAACCAGAGGATGTAACGAAAGCATTGAACTGCTCGTGTATGATATATATCTATATTTATCCCTGTTCACTTCCGTACATCTACGAGCGTGTTGAGCTTGATAGCATGACATTATACTCCCGTACTTGTAACTGAGGAGGGTGAGATGCCAGTTTGATGCCCCAACATTCCCCTTGGCACGATGGATCAATGGTCTCACCGAAGAATTCTTATTGGGGGGCGGCTATATACATATTCTTGAAATCTAAGCAATAGCTGCACAACCATTGGCAGTCAGTGTGAGGGATTGATGGAGAGAGATAGGTTTTAGTCAGAAATTCGAAGAATAATTTATGACTATGCAGGACAGCCGAATGTTGGCCACTGTATTATTGCCTTAAATAGTCTAAAGTTTCCCGTGAGGCACTGTGCCAACCTCAGATGTTTCTGTACGTGGGCATGCCCAGTCAGGATTCATGTTCTCTTTGTGCCCGTTTGTGTGTGTGTGTGTGTGTGTGTGTGTGTCTAACTGTGCGGTGTCTCTAATCTGCAGATACTGCCGACCACTGCAGTCCACCCTGACGTGTCTGCCCTTATGGATCCAAACGCGCTGATGTAACCCCCGTGTGTCGCACGTCTTACCACTACGCAGCCTCGTTATGTGTCCTGCTCACATTTACCTGTGTCCTGTGGGGGCCAACTCCCCGTCGCCTTCATCCTTCGTTTCCGTTGCTTGCAAACATTTCAGTTGTGGTCCAGATGCACCCGGCTTCATCTTTTGATCATCATCTTTTTTAAATGCACGAGAGCTATGCCAAACTGCACCCCATTTTGGTGCAGTCGATGTCATTCTTAAAGAGCTATTTTTTTTTCAAATGAAATTATTTTAATCTCTGATATTGTGGTTTTTTGCTCTCTGTCCTCTGGGTTTTTTTTCCACCAAACTTTTGCTTGATCTGCTCCTCAAGACTTTGCCCTTCTATCTCTCACTGTTATCGCTGATTACTTTCTCATGGCTCATTGAGACCCAACATTTCACATGATCTTTTTATCTCTGGACCCGTTTGTCATGAGATCTATGTACGTAGGAAATTGGGAGAACCAGATGCTTCGGAGCTGGAACAGAAAGATTTTATTTCACATTTGCCCTTGTATGCTTGCTCTCGCTGATAAACTCTTGCTATTTGATCAGTGTTTACTTTTTTTTTAACTTTGGGTTTTTTTTTAAATCTATTTATTCATGGATAATTCTGTAATGTGCATGTTAGCACTGTACTTTTAGAATATGCGAGATCGTTTCTCCTCAACTGTGATAGATTTGACTTTTATTTAGAATTGCATATTTATTCCTACCTTAAAAATCAAATAATTTACAGCACCAGCAATAATAGAAATTTGTCCTGTGTTTATAGTGTATGAGTGGTGGTTAGCATCCTTGAGGTACTACGAACATGATATGACTGAGAAGAAAGGAACATCCTTGCCTAGGGCCAAGTTCCTCAACTTTTTACCATTTCAACTGATATAGCCAGGGGCAAGCTCCACCATCAAACTCCCTTGCTCCGCTCAAAAGTTTGGCTTTCCCATATAGCAAGCCTATCTTCTACTTTTTTTCTTTTTTTTTTTTTTTTAAATGACTGTCAATTGAAATTTTTTAATGTATGACTTCTATATCTCTGTAAATATGCAGTTATGTCTTGCTTTGATGATGAAATCTGTTGGCCAAGAGTCTGGATGGGGAACATGATTTCATAGACATTTATGGTTTTTGTCATTTTTGACACAATTTGAAATTAAAATGTGCATCATTTCTGTCAACCCTCCGTTTAATTTATGCCTTTTTGTTTTTCACCTTAATTGTCTTGATTTTTTTCTGGAATGAATTTACGCAATTTTAACCTATTTTTGCGCCAGGCCGTGTTGTAGAAAATGCTATGCAAATAGTTTACGCATCTTTTTGTTTTTATGGTAGCTAATGGTATGTTTTTTCCTCATTGTTTTCTTTGGATAGTCTGGACTTTTCCTGTTACTTTCTCAACAAGATCTGTGAATGTGTTCAATACTAATTTCTCTTTGACTGGATTGCTTGTAGTGGTTGTCACTAGATCTGTTTTCTAGGCTTGCTGTTATGCTCAGTGTGTGTGTGTGTGTGTGTGTTTGGAATGCATTGACCGTGGTCTACTTTGGCACGACCTCTCACTCCACTGGTCATCTCGTGGATACTAACCCTCGTCGATACCACAGGTTTAAAACGTATTGGGTCGGTCACACTTTTTCGTCACTGGCATGGATGTTTTGATGGAGAAAGGAGACTGAAGAATTGGATCCGTTGGGTGAACTGTGTGAGATGTTTTGTCTTGACTTGGGCGTTCCAATAAATCCATCCATCCGCTGTGGGTGTCGGTTGCAGTCGAGTATGATCCCTGTACACCGTGCGGCTGTTGTCACATTTGACGTTGTGGCCGTCCTTGGTTTGCCTGATGTCTGATGTTGCCGCTGTCATTTTGCAGATGGTAACCGGTAGCAGTCACCCCGGGTCAGGTGGTTCGCTTGACCCGTCCTCGCTGCTGCCCCAGCTGACCAGCCAGATGGGACAACTGCACCTGTCCAACACCTCGGTAGGCTGCCCACACCACTCGCATGTCGCATAGAGCGCTCCGTCTCTTTGCTGTCTCTCTCTCTTTCTCTCTGTGCATCCTTGTTTATGTGTTGTCCTATGCCGTGAGCATACGTTTTTTTTCTCAAGTCGAGTCAACATGCAGAAATGCTCACTCAGAAGAAAGGAAAACTTATGGTTGATATGCTTCTTTTCTTCCTTCAAGCCAGTGTGGTGGTTCTGTTTTCTGTAGAGATGCCATCTTCAAGCATGAATAGCTCTTCAGAAATCAAGCTCTCAGACTTTTAGTGTGAGTGTGAACGTGCGTGTGTGTTTGCATGCGTATGTTCTTGCGTGCTCAGCTAGTAATTACAGATGTTAGGTCTGTACAGCCAAACAGACGTAAAAAAGGAAGGGCCATAGTGGTGTAAATTCTTCCAGTTAAACATACGAATATTTCGTTATGCTGAAGAACGAACCTTGGTATTTCTTTGTTTTGCGTGAATGGAAAATCACGGTATGCTCATTTCTGGCTTCCATTGTATGTTAAAAGTTTGAAATCTAACTTGTTTATATTTTGTCGGTGGCGAGAGAAATAGTAATCCTTGTTCTAACTCACTTTTGTTGAGTGAATGCTGTGTGAGATTATGCCAAGTAACATGTGTGAGCGAATGTTTGCTGATGTGACAGCATGTTGCTCCCCAAATGTCCCCCCTCCCCACATGCATGCGTGGTGTTTTAGTTCCTCAGTTGCAGCATGTGGCCTCCTCCTCCAGTCTGTTTCTGTCCTCCTGCTGTTGGAGATAGGCACTGACGGCTGCTAGGTTAGCTTGCAAGTTCTTCCAGCCTATCATGTCTCAGGGAGCCCATCTTGCTACTCGCTAGTTTATAGTTGTTGTCGTTGGTGTTATTGTCATTGCTGTTGTTGTTGTTGTCCATCCCACAGACCTTGACCCCCCCACCCCCCACATCCCATATCCCCCTCCCCCACCTTCATTTTGACAAAGTAGTTGGACATTGCGTGGTCTTGTACCAGCAGAACCATCCGGTGAATGCTATTGTGTTTGTGCCGAGAGGGATTTCTTTGTAACAATAGTTTTGCTTTTTTTCCGCCTGCTTATTCTTTCTTTGGTCTTAAAGTTGAAGTGTCAGTCGAACATTTTCCTCGTTCCTTTACTCCCTGGTATATGATTTTCGTCTGTCAGGATTTCGTCACTTTCTTACTGTTTTGTTTTGTTTTTGCCAAGTCGTTGTGGCCTCGGTCTTTGAATTGAACACACGTCACAGATCTTGCTGTGGTCAGTGTCTGGTCCAGGCCATGGGACGGAGCGCGCTCCTTTGGCAGCACTGAAGCGTGTGAGCAAACTTTGTCAGCACTGTTCTTGATCACTGTTGTTCATTGACCTCTACCCCATAGGGGTCATAAGAGTGTTTACTACTTTTTTTTGTGCTTGTCAGGTTTTGGTTTAGTTGACCGTTTTCCTTCCATTGTGAGCCTTGGGCTTTTACATTTCTTTGTTACCTTAATGGCGGACTACTTTTTGACCAGGTGTAAATACCAGTTGTTAGTTTGCTTTTGTTGTAATGCTTCCTTTATTTTGATTATGATGACTGCCGATATTTCACTTTGCATCTTCTTTATGACCTCATTATTCATAAACATGTTTCATTTTTTGTCATTCTAGTTTTCCTCCTTACCTTTTATTTCTGCTCAGATCATAATCTGCTGGCTCTTTTGCTTCTCTGGCCTTTCCATTTCATTCACAAACACGCAGCAGCACACACGCATCCAGACTCTCATACGGTCCCATATAAATTCACACGCAAAGACATTACCATAACATTTTTACACACACATTGACACAAACACACATGCTAACCTGACCAAAGACTTGTTTGAAAATCCAGCAACAAGAACTTAGTGGCTTGTCCTGTTCCCAATGTTCATGTTTGGCACACTTGGCTTTAGGTACCATGGGGTATGTTTTTTTTCCCTTTTCTTTCTTATTTAATCGAAGTACCAGAGGTAAATCATCTGCTTGTGAGTTTTTGAAGAGTAGAGTATTTTTGTGTTCTACAGCTGTATTGTCAAACCAATTTTTGAGATTGGTATTCGTCATTTTCCGTGTTGAAATTTTAAACTGAATTATGTGGAACCACTGCTGAATATATGTTTTTGCCAGCACATGCGCAAGTTAATATGCAAAGATAACTTTCTACTAATGATTTGTGCCCCGTATGATGTGAAGAACTTTGTACAGGTTCACTTTTGAACGGTATATCCTGATGTAAATAATGTGACACAATCATCTCCCACACATTTTTACAAAACGACCTAGCGTCTGCCATGAAATCACGTTTTGGAACAAACTGGCTTTACGTTTTTTTGATATTCTCCCACTCCCTTATCCACCCTAGGTGCTGATCCGTGTTGACATATATCCCTGTGCGTTCCAAGAGAACGAAAATTACGCATAGAAGTTATTTACAGCCAACTGTACATTCGGCTAAAAATGATAATAGTGGTATAGACACTAATAATCTTATCCTTGTGCTAAATTTTATTTACACCTAATCCTGAAAGGAATCAACAATGTTATTCCTTGTCTGTTGTACTCATACGTGGCTTAAGTAGTGGATTCTAAAAGAAAAAAGCATAAAAATACATATTCTTTATTCAAGTAAACACGTGCATTCTATTATTACATACTATATAGTTACCTATATTTTTTTATCTTATAGCCAGGGAAAGAGTAGGTTAAGTGCGGAGATCTTTTAGGACAGAATTTTTTCTTGTAAAACTATTAACAGTTTTTCCCACGCATTGTTCGAAATGTTTAGAAAAAGAAGGTAAAAACTGGCCATCATTTAAATTTTTATAACGACACCTTATTTTGTTAACTACCAAATTATCATTTGATCTGGATAAATACATTTAAAACAAGACCAGAGGACAAGAGAAAAACCCAAACACTGTTCTGTTTTCTTCACTTTTAGCTGCGTCTGTTCCCTGCTATAGAGTGAGTGATCTATATCCCTGAGTCTCTGCCTGTGGCAGAAGACGCACCTAGCCTGTACTAATGCAAACCTCTTAAAGCCAAGTAGCTATCCTTGTTGTCATTGGTGTTAGTTTGTTCCACATACTTTTTTTGTCCCTGCATTGTACAGTTCTGTGAATTTCACCATATCATTCTCACTCGGAATATCGGCATCTTGACACATGTGTGAAGTTTGACATGTCCGTTTTTATTTCATACTTTAATGTCCTTACATTGAAATGATTGTACTTCTCTATTTTTGGCTTGTAATGCATGCTAGATTTGAAATTTTGGAGGGTGTGGCGAACGAGGTGAATGAAGTTACGAATACCAGTGGTGCGTGAATGACCTCTTTTTTAAAATGATTTATTTGTTGTCCTTAATGTTGGTGCGGCCTCGGGCCCACCGTATGAAGCCCTTAACCAAGAAGTGTACATAGTGGTCTGTTGTTGTCTTGTGATGGTTTGTGTGACTTGTCAAGTGCCAGGGCGATCACATGGCTCCGCAGAACATTCCAGAACCCTCAGCTAGAGTCTTGTGCTGGGATCTGATACTTTTTGGAAAAAAAAGTATTGGTAGGTAGAAACCTTTTCACAGCCTCATTCCCATTCTCCAAGTAAGAAAAATAACGTTTTTAACAGGGATTGTTCTTTTTATCGGTACCATCTTTTAAGTTTTAATTCTTTTAAAAAATAGGCAGTTTGCATTTTAGCCGCTAAAAAGTTGTGAATCGTTTATTTCTTTTAAAAAATTTCTCTCTTGGAAAAAAGATTATGAAGACCATGGAATGTCGAAATAAAGTTGAAAATCAAGAGTAAAGATTAACAGTCGTGTCGCACCTGGTGGCTGCTTCCCCTGACCTGAGCAGGTTTGGACATCCCCTGGCTTTTGTCACTTTATGTTTGGTGGTGGGTGTTTTGTCTCTCGTCCGTTCGTTGTTCTATTTTTTGTCGTCTGTTTTTAAAATTCAAGATCATGTGACATAATTTTTAATTCCTTTCTAATGTTGAAGAGAATATTGCATAAGATGTCAAAGATCAAAGAGAACTGTGGTGCAGATGTGGTGAGAGAGTGAGTTGAATGAGACAGCTGAAGGCTCTGGAGTCTGTTCTCTGCAGTCACACCTACAGTCTTGTCCAGGCTTCGAGCTTTGTCTAGTTTCATTTTGTGTAGTTGTAAACCTGATTTATTCCTTTTTTTTTTTTCTTCTTTTTTTTTTCACTAAGTAATTTATTTCTGTAGGATATTGTAGACTTTGACTGAGGAAGAACTTCTGTAATAAACTCAAATTTGAGAATTACATTCTTAACAATCCAGCGAAGAATATTCAGGTAATTGTGAAGAAAAATATGTAGATAATTGTAAAGATGAAAAACTGTAGGCCTACCACTTATTTCTTGCACAGGTAGGCCTACTTTGCTCTGTTCCGTTGGATGAAAAAAGGGGCTTGCAAACATCTTGTCCTTGATAAAGACATTAAAAAAGAGGAACAGCAAAGAAATCATTGACTAATGTTAGTGGTTTATAAACTTGAAATTATATCTATTCAGTACTTTAAAGATTCTGCATCCTGTACGTTTTAGTGATGCTCAAGTCAAGCTGTTCTCAAAGTATAGATTGATAGTGCCCGACTTGGAAACCCAGTGAATAGTTCTATTTTATCTAGAATTAATATACTACCTTCATATCTTAACAATAGATGTGATCATTGTTTGAACTCCACTAGAGAAATTAGAAAATTATTTGTAGTAGTTTAAGTTGCCTGATGACAAGACATTTCTCATTACCTCCTCTTGCTGCGAATGTCTCTGATGTTCCAGTTAGAATTCACTTCCACATCATGCTAGTTTGACACCCGTGGCATACACGAAAGGACAGGACAAAATGGGTTTGTGTTGAGAGAGGGTTACTGATAGTGTGATAGTGGTCCTTTCAATGTTTGTATGTTTGTGGCCACTTTTTTTTTTGGGGGGGGGGGGGGCAG